GACAAATATCCAGACCCGGAACAATTATTTGTAGGTCATACAAATACTTGTTCCGTGCGGGATTCGAACCCGCGGCCCCCAGCGCAACAACTCATTGCTAAGTCACTGCGCCATGGAGCCGTGTCCCTGGCACTGCTGAACATAGGCCTCCCTCGTAGATTGCCTTATAGAGAGTATATTTGCTTTAATTTTTATCTTTAATTGATATTAGGAAGACGCTGCTGCCCATCTCATGGTTATCTCCTGCCGGTCCTGTACGCGGCTTATACGAGTACCAATGACATCCCAACCCTGGCAGGACTAGAACGCGAATGGTAGGACGATTTAGAGCTGGCTCTATATGCGGACGATGGCGCCTACTTCAGCTGTATTAATTGCATACTTGTAGCACGAATGGGTCGGCTCGACCGGGGAAGGGCCACGCTGTGTCGCCTCTTACGACACCCGTGGGAATGGGGTAGTGGATATTCTTATTCCGCCACTACACGGTTTACTAACCTTTCGTGTTTGTTTGTCATATTACTTCCTGTTTCTTTCCCTCTATTTTTTTTAAAAATAAAATAAGGTGACAAACGATCACACAGTCCACTTGATGGTGAGTGGATGCTGTGACCGAAACCCACGGGATAACGTGATGTACTTATGGTCAAAAACAGCTGAAATAAGAAAAACCTATAGTTACTAACATTTTGTTTCATATACTGTTAATAATTACTAAAAAGAAAGTTAAAACAAAAAAATTAGAAATTTATAATACCGGTCAAATTTGTAAAAATATTGAAATATGTACTTACGTTAATGAAATGAGACGGAATATACAAAGCCCCAATTGCTGTTGGATGTAAAGAGGGTAGGTCCTTAATTAAAACACGTCATTCTCTCTATGAATAACACACAATTTTATTTATTGACTAGCTGTGCCCGCGATGTCGTCCGCATAGAGAGTTTGTTAGTAACATGTTTGTTTTGAAGTTTTATTTCTTGGGCCTATTTGATTATATTTTTAAACTAGACCACTGTTTCAATTCAAACAGCCTAATAATATAGATATTTTTTTTATAAGGAGCAATTTTATAATGGAACCGATTAAGTAATTAACTATTGCAACAACGAACACCAACAGCAACGTCAAAGGTGCGAGATGCCTTTTTGTAGGATAGGGTGATAAACGAGCACACAGTCCACCTGATGGTAAGTAGTTGCTGTGATCCATAGACATCTACATCTATCCTCAATAAAGAATCAAAATGCAGATGCGTTGTCATCCTTGTGGACTAAGATGGAATGTCTCTTTTCCAGTAAAAAGTGTCTCCGGTTCTCTACACTCACTATGCGAAACACAGCAGAATTAAGCTGCTATTTTACGCTGGTATTCTGTGAGAGCGTGGTCCTTCTCCGGTTGAGTTGACCTATTCATGCTACAACTATACTACTAATATAGCTGGAGCATGGTTCTACCATGTATAAATATAATACCACGTCTTGTATTGTGATCGTCAATCTATGTGCAAACCGTGATAATTATAGCATATCGTTCCTACAGTAGGAGAGGTCCATGACTTGCAGTCACTTTCAGTAGACTTTTACGGGCTAATGATGAATGCGAAGAAGAATAGATATTTCTTTTGAGACTTTTCCTCTTCTAAACTTTAGATCCGCTCTTGCAAGACGTGTTGTTTATTTTCTTTGCAAAGTTGTAGGTGTTTCGTTTTAAGCGAATTCATGGGAAAAACACCCCCTCACCGACATCATATCTGATGGCAATATTTGTGTATACCACGTTCTTTTAACAAACTGCTAATTTAAACCGTTAAGCCTTTAATATATTAAAATGAATAGTACGTGTCGCTAAATGCTAAAAGAAACCAAGGGAAGAAGCAGCAAAACAAACTATATCTCCAATACAGCATATGAAATCCACTGTTGAACATAGGCTTTCCCAATACATTGCATTATAAGCAGATTTCGCTATAGTTGCATTGCTTGGCAGGCGGGTTATAACCGCAGTTTTCATAATTTTGACTTGTTATTTGGAAGATGATGCAGCCCATCTCCTGTTTCAGTTTTCCTCTGTCGCCTCTTTCAACACCCACGGAAGGATATGGGAAAGTGGATGCTCTTACACCCTCTGTAAATGCCTCTAAATGCCTCTAAATGCCACAATAGATTTATTCTGTTTATGAAGATTAACCAAAACTTCCTTTATAATTATGACGTAAGTTTTGGATAACAATATGGCATTTCTACAGTTCGCTCCAATATGCCATTCCTATATTTAGCTTAAACTTACAGTATCTTTAGGTTTTTTACAAGATAATAGTTTATGAGCAAATATTAAGGAGCTACCTCGTAAAATCTTTCAATTGACTACCTGGTGATTACTGAAGTTAAACGTGAGCGTTTAATCTTCTATGTTCAATAAAATTTATTAGTGGACCACCATCCTTTACTACATTATTTTTTAAAAAAATTAAAAAAAATTGGAAATTCCAAAAGTGCACACGTCGAACTTCATGTAATGTTTTGTATAATCAATTTACTTTTATTAATAACCGAAACACGTATTTCGTTTGAGGTTACAAAAATAGTTTCTGAATAATTAACACAATTTTTTTTAACTGTCTCATACCGATAATTCGTATTTTGTTACCGAAAAAAATTTTCAAATAATTAATAAAAGAAAAAATATATTAATGAACGGGACGGTTTCCAATAGTGAAATTCAAAAGGCTTTTTAATAATAATTATCGAAATAAATTATCTTATTACTACGTCAGAAGTACTAATTGAAATCTCCTCTCGCTATTGGTGTACTTTTTTATTATAAAAATGCAAAATAAAGCTGGTGGAATTGGTTTAAGTTGAGAGCGATTTTTGATTTTGTGAAAATAGAGCACTACATCTCCGCTTCGCGTTCGATGTGTGCAAACTGAAAAGCTACATCTTTATGATATACTGAAACGCGTCTACAATTTACGCACTCTCCAATTATTCAAACACCATTGTTCGAAACATTGATCATGTATACGACAACTCATTTGGCGTATGGTTTTCCTCAGCAGGTGGTGTCCTGCCGACGCCTATCAGTAGTTATAATGTTGCTCGTTAAGCGTTGGAAGGACACCGCCTGCTGGTCGTTGGATTAAGAGATCTGTGTAGAAGTTTGAGAGTTCTTGTCAATTTATAAAAAATTATAAATCTGTACAACCGACTTCAATATAAATAAAATGAGAACATCATCAATGTAGTCAAAGTCAATTAAATACGACAGATCTTGATCAAATTTATATGGGACTACATGACAAGCACCAGTTTTTATTTTAAAAAAGTATCATCAAAATCGTTCACCTAGAAAAAGTTCTGAGGTAACACACATAAAAAGCAGTCGAATTGAGTACCTCCACCTTTTTTTGAAGTAGGTAAAAAATAGTAAACATGTAGACATGGGAAATATAGATAATTGAAATTGAAATTGCAATACGTTGAAAAGTGTTGCAATTAAGTAGTCCTTAACGCTAATCTATGTTTACTTTTTATATCGCAGATATCTTCTAGTAAAGTCGATAATTACTGCCGAGCTTTTTCCTGTATTATGTGACCTAATCCCTGTGACAGCAAAACAGAGTGTAGATAATTAGCTTGGAACGATACATTACGCGATCGATACAATAACAATTTTATGACTATCGCAGCCATTATTTAGCAAGGAAATGGGTTGTAAAATAGAATACCTATAAAATTTAAGTGTCTGTTTTGTAATATAGAAATAACTGCCTTATATTAAGCTCAGAGGGTTATTTGCCGTTTGCCGTTAAGACATGAATAATCAACCATTTTTTATTTTTGTCTGTGTGTCCGTCCGTCAGTTTGGGCTAATCTTCGGAAAGTATGAACGGATTGTAATGAAACTTCACGAATCGATAGAAAACAATGCCAGGAGTGACTGAGGCTGTATTTTATCCTAAAAACTTGGAGATTTAAAAGAAAACTGAATAATTTTTAAAATAAAATTATTATTTTTTTCGTCTTTGATTGATTATCTTAAATTTAAGTACCCAGGCGCAGCCAGGGCGGACCCCTATATTTTAGTAAAAAACAATCTCATACGAAACACAGTAGCGTTAAGCTAATACTTTCTGCTTGTTATTCTTTAAGAGCGTGATGTTTCGAAAGTGTAGTATCAATAGGTTGGAACGTTGCAGTGGAGTAGCGAGCCTTTAGAGGGGCCCTGTATCAAAATTTGTCGGGGGGCCCAAATGAAGGGTTAAGATTTTTCACAAAAGGAACAAAAACTCTCGCATTGAATTAAAATAATTGTATATTGATTATAAGTTACTACTTACAATTAATACTCCTAGGAACTAAGCTAGCCAAACAATTCAAACCAACATCCTGTCCCATAGAAGTCCTTAGAATTTTTGCTTACATACGTTCGGGGCCTCTGTAGTCCGCGGGTCCCGTATCATTGATACGGCAGTAGCTACGCCCCTGGAACGTTGATTCTGAATTACTTACTATTTGGATTATTATCGAAGGAAGAAACATTATCATGATCTAATAATAATAATCCCGAATATCACTTCACGGTGGCAAGCTGCAACGGAGACTAGTCATCTGCGCACGACAGGATTATAGTGCCCAAGTGTATGCGCAAGCACAGGTGCACTCTCTATTCCCTCACTCTCATAGTCTGATGGGACGGTAATTCGACACGACTGGAGAGAGATCAGGCGCAGCACCAAAAGCTTTACGTGTTTTCCGCGGCCCGGGGGTGAAACACCACCAACTTTCTAACTTCGGGCAGCTTCGGAGAATTTCTTAACAGAAAAACTGAATAACAGTTTTTTTTGACTCGACCCGAGATTCGAACTCGGGACGTTATGATCCACAGTCGCGTTTCGACCACTAAAACAACGATATAGAACATAAGGTAATATAAACGCGTTGAATTGTGTATTTGTGTATTGGCTTAAAAATTTAGACATTATTTATTATTCTAGGAGTGTTCGAACTGTGCAACCTCTACGAAAGAGCAGTTCAGAACGACGTCGTTTTCTGTGGTACTCTCTCTATGCCTGGAGTATTGCAGTATTTCTTACATTAACGATGTTCATTCTAGACCAATATCCAATTTCTATACGCCTTGATGCGAACATAGGCAATGGCGCATGCTGGTTTGGCTCACGTAAGTCTATTTTTTCTTTATCGCTTCTATACGGTTCTAGAGCTGCTTCGTAAGATTAAAGGTTATTCGTTGTATTTTCGTAGCCTGTTTCATGGATAACTATTAATTATGATATACGCATCATACATCTAAATTTGAGATGGTTCGAAGTGGATTATTTTTGTAACTACAATGTTTAACGAAGACTTTGTTATTCTAATTTTGTTTAATGTTATTGCTTACAAGTAGGAATATCTAAAAACATATATTAAAGAATTTCCCATCAAAAACAATTTATTGCCGTAGCTGTGTTATTTTTAAAGTGTAGTATAATTATGGAATAACTTTAATTTTCATGTAACATGTTGATTTCAAAAATTGTCTTATTTAAATGTAATAATAAATAACAATACTAGCTTTTATAAGGTCAAACGAGCACACACTCTATCATATGGTAAGTGATTACCACAATATCTATTCTCGATTATTAATCAACATGCAGATGCGTTTTCACCTCTTGGGACTAGTATAGATTGCTTCATTATCAGTAAAAAGGGTCTATGGTCTTGACACTCACATCAGCGTCTGCTGTAATTTTATGCTGGTATTCTATGCTAGTAAATCTTCTTTAACCGTAAGTTCCAAATATTTAAGTGTAAAACATTTTTTTTTTGTTTTTAGGTAGTGTTTTGCTTATTGTATTTCCTAAGGTCGCCTCTTATGATACACAAAGGACGGAATGGGATGATCAGTTCTGTTACGCCGTTAATGTTTCGTGCCAAATTCTCCAAAACAAAACTCTTATGGTCACACCGAATGTGCATAATATGCACTTACCTTATTTTTTTAAATAGACGCGAAGGCCCAAGGGTTGCTCACCTGATGGTAAGTGCAGGCCGCCGCCAATAAATAACTGTGTTTTTTGAGTAATAGTATATAATTTAGCAAATTAGTCTTAGATTTAAATTACAGTTTGTTTTTCAATAAAGAAGTGATATTTTCCACGCCATTTGAAACAAAATTAAGATTTTTAAACCACAGTTTAAACCCAGGATTATCATTAAATCACGTTTTGTAATAAGACCAAACAAGTTTAAATCAAGGAAAAAGAGAGAAACCCAATTTAAGCCTTTACTAACTTTTATATATTTTAAAGTATAAAAGAAATCAAAGCTTTTTAAAGAACATATTTTACTGTAGTAACAAAGAATGTTGATTATAATGAGCTTGTTAAATTTCAGTTCAAAACGTGGAGTCCGACTGGCCTCATTACATATTCTTTGTAATCCCGATGGGAGTAGTTACGTGCACCAATTTTGTTCTATGGATATTGACTGCACGACATTGTGCCCGTGTTAAGTCAGAGGTGCATCGCTTACAGGCAGGCTCCGTAGGTGATCGTGCGAAACGACGTTTTCGTATAGATAGAGCTAAGTAAGTAAAACTGAATAATTGAAATCATATACATAAGTTAACATTAAAAAAATCGTAGATAAGGAAACAAGTTTAAAAAGTTCCATTACCCAAACAAAATCTGATAATGAAAGGATCTGAAATGAACAAAATGAGACAAAATGTTTGAGATTTTTTTTTATTAATTTTTCTGTTCTGAACTTTCTCTGCAAATTTGGCCGGTTATTGCAAAATAACCCTGTATATTTGAGTTATGTACGAGTTGGTAAACTTTTTTGTAATGCTAAAGCGACAAACGAGTTAATAGTTCACTGGGAAATGGTTACTGTAACCCATGTACACCAGTATACAATCTCAAACAAAGATGTGTAGTCAGCCCTAAAGACAGATGAATAGCGGACCGTTTGTAATCAACATGAGTCCGACCCTTATAGGAAGGGTTTGCCTAAATCGTCACGCTTGATAAACGGATGGACGGTCGCAGTACCAGACTTCTCGTACCGTTGACGCTGCTGTCTGTCGCTTTTCATAATATCGCTAATAAATCATCTTTTCATAGTATTTCTAATAAAATTTGTTTTTTGTACAGATACGTATTAACTGGAAAACTATGGATAGTGATGGGTGCTGGATGGATTTCGGAGTTGCTTTCAACACTAGTGACACATCCTCTATGGCTTTGGACAATAGTCGATTTATTTAACGAACTGCAGGGTGTCTTCATCTTTCTAATACTTGTGGTGAAGCCTAAACTTTACTACCTTATTAGAAAACGGTTAGGTAAGTCAGTGTATTTATTATTATTAGTTTTATCCTGATAGTTAAAAACAATCTTAAATGTAAGGTAGGTATTATTTGGTTAAGAGAAAATATGAAGAAGTCATAGCTTTTGACATAGAATACTATAATACAGTATATATACATACACAAGGTTTTTGATATAAAACAGCGATTGTCTAATGGGGTAGCATTGTGAGAGAATCAATATTTCTGTTAAATAAAAGGCAGCTAAGAATGTAAAATGTATGATAACTATTTGAAATAAAAAATCAAGCCACATTAGCCTATAACACAATTCATAGGGGTGATAAGTGAAGGTGCTAACAACTTTTATTATTAATAAGCTGATCTTAGATCAAGGTCACACTGGATGTAAAAGGTAATAGGGTCCTGATACGAAAGGAGGCACGGCAACAACGTATGTATGAAATCCAACCGTATGTCGAGTTGTTCAATTGTCGGGATTAGTGTTAGTTGAGACTGTTCAAATTTACCACCTTTCGGTACTAGTATCATCTATTTGAAGCTACAAGATTAATTGAAGGCTATGGATGAATGAGGCAGTTTCATTCATTTTCTAAAAATGAATTTTGTTATTATAATGAAATGAAGCCTCTATCACTTGTTTTTTCAGGTTGTTCTCGGGTCCCGCTTGACACAAGTATATATTAAATATTGTTGTTAAATTACTGCAATTCTTTTCTGCTTCCTTTAATGTATCTGTTGGCTTTAATATTAAGCTAAATTAGCTGTAAATATGTAGTATGAATGCAATTTTACACCTTTTTTAATTATTTAAATGTTTTACAATCAATTTGTCAATTTGTAATATTATTTACATTTCGTTGTGTAAAACATTTCTTGGTACAAATTAAAATAAAATAACATAAAATTAGATCATAGTTACTCATTCTAAACTTCACAATTTGATATACTCCTAATTGGCTATTACACTGAAATGAAGAAATGTTAAACAAATTCTTAAAATAACTCATTCAAACAGAAATTATGTTTGATTATCATCTAAAAGATCATTTACTTTATTTACGAATTGCCAATAAGCAGACTGAAATATCATACTAATAATAACTGCTATAATAACATTCTATGTTGTTTTAACCAAAATCGTGTAATGTAAAAAGCACTATCATTAATTAGCATAGTCATTAATTTGCCGCGCATGTTGGCTTACAAAACTTTGTTTTCACCTAATTGTTTGACGTAATTAACTAAAACTAATATAAACAGGGCTGGAGAAACCGGACACACAGAAAAATGGCGCCTCTTCTTCAGGTCGTACCTCCTCTACGTTCCTGTCCAGAACAATTAGCTCTGATGAACGCGCTAATTTACGGACTACCCTACCCAATAACAATAAACAGGCCTGATCGATGAATTTTTTCATGTATGCATTAAACGCGTTAATGATAAAGTTCTTTACTACTTACTTACTTACTTAATTACTTTGTAACAACACTAGTTATTTTATTTTATTCAATTAATTTAATTTGTTTTACAATTATGGACAGAAATAATTATAACTTTATTTATTCTATAAAAAAATATAGAAATAATAAGTAATTATCCTATAAAAAAAGTACCATGACACTGTATTTCACCTGTATTATATATATATGTAAATATACCTATATGTAATTGGTTTCTCGGAAAAGGCCCTTTCGATTTGTATCAAATTTTGTATTTAGATAATGTTTTGGTTTGCAACTTTATTTTCTCAAGGATAACTATATCGTTATCCTTGCGTAAATTATATTTTTCGAACGCTAAACAAAATTTGGTTCAGGTACTATACTTACGTGCTTGTTGCCATAGTTAATATATCACGTTTTATTTTCGATAAATTTTTTTTCCAGTTTCTTTTTTAATTTTGTTTTTATTATTTATTTTGACGCAGAAGATCCATGCTACCGCTATAATACAGTTGCAGTATTAGTAGTTTAGCTTCACCGGGGTAGCACGACGCTCTCACCGAATACTAGCGCAAAATAGTAGTTTAATGCTGCAGTGTTTCGTATGGTGAGTTTAGAGAACTGGTGACTCTTTTTACTGATAACGAAGCATTGTGTGTTTGTCCTCAAGGGTGACAACGCAGCTGTATATTGATTCATAATCGAGGGTTGATGTAGGAGTCTATGGGCAACAGCATCCACTTATCAAAAGTAGTCAGTGTGCTTGTCACCCTTATTCTATTAAAAAATCATTCTCACTGTCGTATTTTTGTCAGTTATAGGGCTTCGCAAAACTTCATCATCATCATCATTACAGCCTTTTAAAAGTCCATTGCTGAACATAGACCTCCCCAAGGAATGCGACAAAGCACGGTCTTGAGCCACCTGCATCCATCGACTTCCTGCATATTTTACCAAGTCGTCACTCCATCTAGTGGGGGACCATCCTACACTTCGTCTACTGGTACGAGGCTGCCACTCGAGAACCTTTCTTCCCATCGGTTGTCGGTTATTATGTTTTATTAAACAAGCTACATAATATAAAAATCCCTTCTATTGCAAAGTATTTATTCGATATCTTATGACGACTAGTAGTAAAACAACTTTATGGATTGTAAATTTAAAATTAGTATTTTGTGTTACAAACGGGGTTTCCATGTATTTTGTGCAGTGCAACGTAAAACAGAACTCTTTTTAAAACAAAGAAACTAGGCATTAGTCCTCGGGGATGAGAAAACGTATGTTTTGTTCTTCTTTGTCTCAAGTTGGTTACAGGCACACGTTAGTTATCAGGTGCACTATCTTAGCACGTTTGTCACTTCGCTATTATAAAAAATATGCTGTGCAAGTTAATAACAACTTTACATAATTATCTCCTATCGAAATCAGTAAATGAGACGTTTAAATATACTTATGGCAATAAAATTATAGCTGCAGTAGACGTGAAGAGCGAAACTGTAAAACAAATTCTGACACCTATTTGTAATGTATTAGTATTAAAAGACTACGCCATCGCTTAAAATAGAGTTCTTTGTAATAATCCAAATACGATGATCTAGTCATAGTGTAATTAGTTTAAGAAGATTCTAACGTGTATTTAATTTTAAATTTGAAGAAAATACTGAACTTATTTTATTTTAATAATAATAAGAATATATACGAAAAAATATTTTCACAAAATTTATTAAGTACTGCCGACTTTAAATTTGTTCTACAAACCTTCCTTTATGTTTTCTGTTTAAGTTTTATCACCATTTTTGTCATCAGGTCAAGGGTCAACGCACAAACAGAGGTTTCTTTACATAATATTATTTTTTTCTGTCTGATAAGACTCCAGTTATATAATATTTTAATTAGTTTTGCAATTGTGTAAGTTATAATATTACATTTGATATACCTATAAGTTATATGTATGCATAATACATATTTTATTTAATAATTTTTTTAAGTAGTTAAATATTTTGATTCGATGAGTTTTTATGTTTTTAATTTTGATACTATATACTATAATATATTGGTGAAGTTTGCACTTTATTCGAATAGACGGAGATAATAACGCAAGATTAAAACCGCTGTTATTAGTCAGTTATAAAATTGGTTTTGAATTTTATAATGATGTACAAAATTTGTGTCATTGATTTGCTGTCGAGCGTATTTATACATTATTTTCAGTTTTTTCAATTATGTTTATGTGATACGATTTATAAGATAGCGTAAGGAAATCAAGCGGTACAGTGTTAGCGACAACAGCCCTATAGTTATAAGTATATTAGGACCATTATATTCGTATGCAACGGTACAGACAATTAATTAATTTTATAAAGTAATGCTTTATCAATATAATTTTAAGTTGATTCACTAGATCTGCATTAAAAATAACAGCACAAAATCAATATCAAATTTAAATTTCGAATTTGGTGGTGGGTATGAGTAAACGTAGTGATTATATTCTCTTTGGGTATGAGTATGCGTTACTTAACCTAGTGTAGTGAGTAGGTACAAAGTAAATCAATTTCTTCAAAATTATAACATGTGGATCGTTGCAAATTATCTTTAACATCTGAAATTTAATAGATGTCTGCAAAATTTAGCGTTATAATAGTAATTAAATAACTTTAAAAATTCCAAAACGACAATAGATCATTGAGTAGGGACTTGACATTATGAAAAATGTTGCACAAATTGCATGTAAAAGAAATTTGAGCTGAGACAATTAGCGCTAAACCATTATTAGCTTAAGTAATTATCATTTAGATTTTTACGTAAACTTTGATTATTATTTAGTTATAATATAAGTAAATTAAGTAATGTGTATTCTTTCATAGTTTGTAAAATATTTTATGACTAGTAAATCATGTTTCCATTCCAATAGCACTTTTATTTAACATTATCACTGAACATTGCTTCGATTATCAAAACCTAGTTCCATATACTGGACATTGCATTCTGGTATCTTAAAATATGTTTACGAATTTATTTTCAGCAAGTAAAAGACTATGTGCATACGTGCTATTATTGGTCTAAGTATTTTAGCTAAGGTTGGGAATTTCTTTAGGTTTTTGCTGTTTCTTTTTTAGTTTCACTAGGTCCCTTTTGATATAAAAACTTCTTAAATCTTCAACTTGGCAGTAAAAAGATGTATATTTAAAAATCTTTCTTGTCGATATGAATTTTCTGACTGTTACCTAAACTTACTAAATCATATTGATAAATGAAAAACATATTTACATTTATATCCCGATAAGTATGTATCATCAAGTCAACAAGTCCACTGCTGAACATAGGCCTCTCCCAAGGGATGCCTCAAAGCACAGTCTCAAGTCACCTGAATCCATTGACTTACTGCATGTCTTACCAGGTCGTAACTCCATTTAGTGGGGAGACGCCCTACACTTCGCCTGCCGGTATGTGGTTTATCTCGATTAACTTTGTTCCCCATCGGTTGCCGGTTCTTCGAGCTATATGGCTGGCCTATTGCCACTTCAGTTTTCTTATCCGTTGGGCTATGTCGGTTACTCTGGTTCTACTGCGGATATTCTCATTTTTACGTCTATCACACAAAGAAATCCCAAGCATAGCTCTGTACATAGCTCGCTGAGCGACCTTGAGTTTCCTCTTACCGCCAGCAGTAAAGGACCACATCTCAGATCCATACCAGTAGGTCATCACTGACAACACGCACTGGTTTAATAATCTTGTTTTGAGGTTTTGAGGTATGCCTGACGAGAAGATGTGTAGTAAACTCCCGAACGCTGCCCAGCCGAGTTGAATCCGTCGATTGACCACTCGGTCGAAGTTGGACTTACCTAGTTGGAGTTTTTGTCCCAGGTAAACATACTCGTCAACAACTTCGCGCATAGTGCTCCCAACAACTACCGACATAGGTGTGACATGGACGTTACACATGACTTTTGTTTTGTCCATGTTCATCTTAAGACCTATCCGTTAGGGGTCATTGATAATAGTGCCTAGGTCCCCCAGCGATTCTGCCTTAAGGACTATATCGTCGGAAAATCGAAGGTGAGTGATGCACTCACCATTGTCAATACCGTATTCTTTCCAGTTCATTAACTTGAAAACGTCTTCCACTGCAGCGGTGAAGAGTCTCGGAGATATTACGTCACCCTGTCTTACAACTCTCTGCTGTTGGGTAGGTTTCGTACTCTGGCCATCGTAGCCTTACTGTACAAACGCTTCAGCACTTCGATATACCGACAGACAACTTGGCACTGCTGAAGGGACTGCAGCACCGTCCAAATTTCGACGGAAGCAAAGGCTTTCTCATAGTCCACATACGCAAGACAAAGTGGCAGATTGTACTTTTCGGTCTTCTGTACAATTTGCAGAATGGTGTGCATGTATGTGCTTCATGGTGCTGAAGCCTTTTCGGAAACCGGCTTATTCGGGAGGCTGGCAGTCGTCGAGTCTGCGTGCGAGATGATTCGTTATGACTCGAAAACAGCACGTAGACGCGGCTCAAAAGGGAAATCGGTCTGTAGTTCTTCAAGAGAGCATTGTCACCTTTCTTGAAGAACAAGAACATCGCACTTCTGCAACATACCTCCGGTGTAGTGCCACCACGCAGGACGGAATTAAAGAGCTTCTGAAGGACTTCAAGTACCGGTCTTCCACCCGCTTTCAGAAGCTCCGCTGTAATTACATCCTCGCCTGACGTACGGGATATCTTCGGAATAGTGTCGGATAAGACTCGCTCTTGGATCGTTACTTACACTTGCATGTGGCTCCAACGATGACGTGTACAGCTACCCATAGAACCTCTCAATCTCACTCAAAATCGCAGGTGTCCCGGAAGCGATGTTGCCACATTCGGTCTTCAACTTCGACAGTTGGCTCTTTCTGGAAGACAGATCTCTGGCAAAGACTGTGGAACCCTGGTTCCGCTCGATCGCTTCTGCAAT